TCATCTCAATAACACGCTGAGGAAAAAAATGAAAGAATGGAAGAATTGTACATTCAGGTCGTATATATTGCAGTTAAATAGGTACGATAATTCCATATGGAAACCAATCAGAAACAAAAGTAAACCCCTACAACAAAACCCTCCTCTGAAAATAACCAACCAAAACGGATTCATTTGGGCAAAAAGCAACGAAGAAAAAGCGGAGGCATTTGCTGATCATCTAAGTAGCATTTTTAGCGCTCGAAATATTTCCCAGAATAATTTAATTAACAATTTCGTAAATCAACCCATACATTCTACACCGTTAGGACATTTCTCACCAAATGATGTCTTATGTGAAATAAAAAGGATAAAAAATAGATCTTCGCCAGGTATGGATAAAATTACTCCAAAGATGTTAAAAGAATTGCCTACAAAAGGTATCTTATATATAACAAATATTTTCAACGCCATACTTCAATACAATTATTGGCCCACAGCGTGGAAGACTGCAGAAATTATTATGATCGCTAAACCAAACAAAAACCATCACACTGCTAGTTCATACCGTCCTATCAGTCTTTTATCGATATTATCGAAAATTTTAGAGAGACTTTTGTTGCAGAGATTGTCAGAAGATCATCCGAATGATAGTTGGATTCCTCACCATCAGTTTGGCTTCAGAAAAAATCACTCTACAATTCAACAATGCAACAGAACGGTGTCTCGTATTCTTGAAGCCATGAATAGAAAGGAACACAGCGTAGCCGTATTCTTAGATGTCAGTCAGGCTTTCGATAAGGTTTGGCACTCAGGACTCCTATATAAAATCAAAACAACTTTTCCAAACTACTTCAATATCTTAAGCTCATATTTGCTTAATAGAAAATTTAGAATCAAAATTAAAGATGTGACTTCGAGCATCAGAAATATAGAATGCGGGGTACCACAGGGCAGTGTGCTAAGTCCTGTACTTTATCTTCTTTTCACAAACGATATGCCCACAGATGATCTTCTAACCATATGCACTTACGCCGATGACATAGCAATTATTTCATGCAATTCCGATATTAGAACAGCAACTTGTCAGTTACAAAATTATTTATCTAGTCTCGATAAATGGTTTTTAGATTGGAATATCAAAATCAATATCGAAAAATCTCAGCACATAATTGTTTCTCTAAAACATCACAACAGTCCACCTATCATCATGAACAATTCAATAATTCCATTATGCAATTCTGTCAAATATTTAGGCATGCACATTGATTCGAAATTGACATGGAGAACGCACATTGAATATAAAAAGAAACAAATCCAACTGAAAATAAAAGATTTTTACTGGCTTTTTGGGAGGAAATCTGAAATCTCTCTCGATAACAAGGTACTTTTGTATAAAACTATCATAGTGCCCATTTGGACTTATGGAATCGAACTATGGGGTTGCTCTTGCAAATCTAACATAAACATCATTCAAAGGTGCCAGAATAAAATTCTGCGTATCCTTACTAATGCGCCTTGGTATATTTCGAATTTTTGCCTACATAAGGATTTGAAAATCTCAACAGTCAACGAAATGATCAAGATTAGAAGTTCATCTTTAACAACAAATTAATCCAGCATACAAATCCTACAATTCAAGCGATTCAGAGACCGATAAGAAGATTGAGCAAGAAATGGCCTTCCGATCTACCAAACTCCTAGCCCAATGTCTGCACGCGTCCTGACGTAGTACGCGGCATACATCATCACGTCATCGTTCATTTATGTTATTATTTTTGTATTACTGTTTTAATTTAATTTTTATTTCAACTTTTTTCATTTTATATTCAATGTATTGCATTTTGTGTTTTTTGTATTTTTTTTTTGCTCATATCAATTTTGTAAATAAGACATTAAAGTCTTGATTAACAAAAATAAATTGTAACAAAAAAAAAAAAAAAAAAAAAACTACCTTCATATGTAGCATGAAGTTAGTTGCAACTAAATAATAATAAAAACTAATTATTGTAAGTTAATACAATCTTTGGATGAATATAGCATTAACAGCTACTTTTATGTTAATACGACTTATGCTTCAAAATTACGTTCAATCCTACATTATTAAAATGTGTTGTGGACTTAGATTTCAAATAAATTTTTTAAGCGTTTATGATTAGTCTACATAAATATGTTATGAGAAAACATTGTCGAAATAATTTTATTAGCTATAAGTTATCCGAACACTTCATTAAGCTACAATTTGTATTTTTCTAGTTGTACTAAAAATAGTACAAAAATGTCCTGCACCATGTACCAGTATTTGCTTAGCGCCGGATAAACTACTAAGGCACTTTTGATTATGGACATTTTTTCATATTTTAATTGATAACTGTAATTATTATAGTTAAAAACAGTCTATGGGTAAATTAAAGCTTATAAAATTCTGCACTTGATTTTATTAGAACACATTTTGATACTATTATTATTTATACCCGAAAATTACGTTCGAAAATAGATATATAAAATATTTTTTATTAACACTCACTTCATAAGCATTTTTATTGCATTTCTAATTTTTGCACAAAAATATATTATAAGAAAATATTGTAGAGAATTTTATTAGCTGCATTTTAGCTAAATACAGTTTTAATTTACGGTATCTAGTTTTTTATGCAAATTTTGAAAAACGGCGCTAGTGCCTTAGGACATGTCTTACAAAACTCGATTTTAAGGGTACGCACACACTCGTGACTTTTGTCGATTATTACGTTTTTTTTTTAAAAAAATATATATATATATATTTAATTATAATTATAAATGTTGATAAAATCGTTACGCTACATTTGTAATTGGTCTACATTTTATTTGTGATAACACTTTATTACATTTTTATCAAACCGATAAAACAGTTTTATTACACCTATATAATTTTATATAAATTTAAACACAATCGTTATAATTATGCCACACACAATATAATTAAGCAAAACTTCATAGGAAATCGGGAATAAAACACTAGGTGTGAGTGGCAATTCGCCTTGGAATGCTAATCGCAAGAACATCCCAGGGTATTTTAACATATTGAGTTTTATAAAATAGCTTTTAAGTTTTTTAAGTTGACGAAACAATTCTTTTTGAAAGCAAACGATTCAGAATGACTTCAAATGTCTAGAAAACATAAAAATTAGCGCAACTGGCAAAAATATCAACTTTTACTTTGGAAAGTTACGAAAATATTTTTTCAGAGAAATTTGAACAAAATTTTGATAAAATTTTTAATAGGATAATAAATGAATAGTTTACATTGTAAATTTATGGCTTGCACTGTAAGTTGATAGCTTACACCGCAAGTTAAAAGCTTACACTGTAAGTTAGAAGCTTACACTGTAAGTTAAAAGCTTACACTGTAAGTTAAAAGCTTACACTGTAAGTTAAAAGCTTACACTGTAAGTTAAAAGCTTACACTGTAAGTTAAAAGCTTACACCGTGAGTTAAAAGCTTACACCGTGAGTTAAAAGCTTACACTGTGAGTTAAAAGCTTACACTGTGAGTTAAAAGCTTACACTGTAAGTTAAAAGCTTACGCTGTAAGTTAAAAGCTTACACTGTAAGTTAAAAGCTTACACTGTAAGTTAAAAGCTTACACTGTAAGTTAAAAGCTTACACTCTAAGTTAAAAGCTTACACTCTAAGTTAAAAGCTTACACTCTAAGTTTATAGCTTACACTCTAAGTTTATAGCTGGAATTGTAATTTATAAGCTTGAATTGTAATTCTCAAGCTTACAGTGTAATTCTCAAGCTTACAGTGTAATTCTCAAGCTTACAGTGAAATTCTCAAGCTTACAGTGTAATTCTCAAGCTTACAGTGTAATTCTCAAGCTTACATTGTAATTTTGAAGCTTACAGTGTAATTTATAAGCTTACAGTGTAATTTGTAAGCTTTCAGTGTAATTTGTAAGCTTTCAGTGTAATTTGTAAGCTTTCAGTGTAATTTGTAAGCCTTTAGAGTAATTTATAAGCTTCAAGTGTAATTTTCAAGCTTTCAGCGTAAGTTAATAACTTAGAGCGTAAGCTAATAACTTAGAGCGTAAGTTGATGTCTTACAGTGTAAATTCATGTCTTACAGTGTAAATTCATGTCTTACAGTGTAAATTCATGTCTTACAGTGTAAATTCATGTCTTACAGTGTAATTTAATAACTTGTACTGTAAATTTTTACCTATGCTGTAAATTATTAGTGTACACTGTAAATCAATGGCAAATTCTGTATATTTCTACTTTAAACAGTAAATTAAGGTTTTACACAGTAAATACTTAAAATCTCAAACAAAATTCCCTCGAGACAAAAATTGTTACAAAATAATTTCATAATTCTTTTAAAAATATGCAAGAACTGTTCATTGAAATAAATTATGCTCGCATTGAATTTTGAAATAGAATTTTCGTTACGGGAACTTTTTAAATAAAATTCACACACTATTTAATAATTGTATAGAAATAAAAATCGTAATAAAAAATAGTTTAAATAGTTTCAAAAGACTGTTAGATAGGTATGATGAATTATTTAGAAGTAAATCTTAATTTTTTTAAAATAAATAAAAACAAAAATTGATGAACAATTAGTATTCATCCCTGTGAGCTCTTTACTTTGATATGTTACTTGCAAAAAAGTTAAAGATTTGCCTATCAGCAAGTTGCCACCACGTTCTACCATTTTGCTTTCCAAATATCATGGACCTGCTTTCGATTACATTTATTAATATGTATTTGTGTCCATTATCTCGACGAATGAGCAATTTTAATCGCCATAACTAAATGGCATATTTTACGAGATGTTTTTTCTGCACTAACAATCACTTCACGCGTATTTTGCCATTGTTCAATTCAAATTTAGTTTTATGAGAATCGTAAAAGTTGTTTTATTGCAATTTTATCTTGCAAGGGTAACTGATAAACTAGTAAACTGGTAAATATCCACAGCATATTTTTATACAAGCATTGGATTGAGATTTGTTAACAATTGATTAAATAATGTTTCACCTACCGGTAGTAGTCTGCTTTGCAGTAAATGTTGCCTTCTCGGGCAAAACAAGTGTTGTCCGATTCCAAAATGCGTCCACACATTGAGCAACGCAAACAGCAGGCGTGCCATCTTCTTTCCACAGCTTGCAGGTAGAAACGATCCTGGAAAAACGAAAAACAATAGTTATTACAAGTCTTGCAGCAGTGTGCAACTTCTACAAATTGATCTTAAGCACGTCTGGTCTTAAAATCAATAATAAAATTTACTAATTTTACACCATGGTGCAAGATATTTGCGTCAACATGTGTGCCAGCCTGCAGTGCACCAGCTATCTATTATCATTTACCTGTATGTTCCTCCCGCATCCAGCACAAGCATTCAAGCAACTAGGGTTCTCGCCTCCAAAAAGACAACTAGAGTTCTTTCCCTCGTTTTTGGTATCCTGAAGATACCTATTCTGCTCATCCTCCACTTTAAAATACTTCTCCCTCTCCTGATGTTCACCACTATACTCGCTCCTCTGTTGCTCATGCATCTGCTGCTGATCATGTTTCGACGCTTCAGTTTTGAATTTGCAGTCTTCATCAGTTTTCTGGTCGTTTTTGGGCTGTTTGGTGGTGTCTTGGTTGTTAAATGGTGAGTTGAAGTGGTGGAATTGATGCAGGTTGTGGTGAGAGTGGTGGATGTCGGGGGAATTTGGAGGTTCGGTTTTTAGTTTAAGATTCTTTGGTTCTTGGGAGTCTATTTTGGGGTCTTGGAAGGCTGCTGCTGCTGATTGCTGCTCGCTGCCGAAACTGGAAGAGAAATTGATAATTGGTAATGGACTATGTAATCAGAAATAGACAAATAGTAAATTATGATTGTTGCTGGTTTACTAGTTAATGATATGGTGAATATGAATATAGAAAATTTGAAATGAAACTTCTTGAAATGTTCTGGTGAAAATCATCAAGGGTATGGATTTCATCCAAAATCGCTTTAAGATTGTCTCTTTATTGGAATTGAGGATGTTATGGTGAAAACTATTTTAGACGGCCTAAAAAGATAAAATTACATATGTACCATCCTAAGTCTTGAAGTAAAACTTCTTAGAATCTCTCCTAGAAATCATCAGCATGTACTAAATGGTAACAACAATTATCCAAAATGATTTTATTGATGATTATTTGATGATATTCTCGACGAATTGATCAAAACTGATGAAGATACTTATTAGCAACAAGTTCACAATTGACTCATGATAGTGTTTGAAGTGAAACTTCTTAGAGTCTCTGGTAAAAGTTATCAGCATGTACTTAATGGTAAAAAAATTAATCCAAATGATTCTATTGATGATTTTTTTATTGCATTCAGGGCAAGTTGATCTAAACTGGTAAAGACAATCATTAGCGACATGTTTACAATTGTATCGTGATATTTTTTCAAGTAAAACTTCTTAGAATCTCTGTTAGACATACCAAATGGTAAAAAGATTGTCCAAAATGATTTTAAGGATGATTCTTTAGTAAAATTGTGTATCAGATGCTCAAAACTGGGGAGATAACTATTAAATGCAAGTGTGCATTAGTATTGTTGAATTTTTTTAAGTAAAACTTCTCAGAATCTCTGATAGAAATCGTCAGCATGTACTTAAGGGTAACAAAATCAATCCAAAATGATTTTATTGATGATTATTTGATAATATTCTGGACGAATTGATCAAAACTGATGAAGATACTTATTAGCAATAAGTTCACAATTGTTTCATGATAGTTTTTGAAGTAAAACTTCTTAGAATCTCTGTTAGACATACCGAATGGCAAATAAATTTATCCAAAATGATTTTAAGGATGATTCTTTAATAATATTGTGTATCAGATGATCAAAACTGGGGAAGATGATTATTAAATGCAAGTATTGAATTTTTTTAGGTAAAACTTCTTAGGAAATACAATTTTTAACGATATTTTTTAATATTTACCGCGGATGTCCGTAAGCGCTTTGCATGGAACTTTCTTCTTCCGGAACGTACAAGTGCTCGGGGCTGCCCGCTTCCGTTTCCTGAAAAAAAACAAAGATTATCACATATTGATTATAGATGACGATTTGCCTATCGGCGCGCTTTTCAAATTTTCAAAAATCTATAAAATCTAAACTATTGCTCCAATTTGGATGCAACAAAAAACAAGTATATTCAGCAAACTATGAGCAATATTTTGACAAAATTTTGCAGTAATCCCGAAAACAAGTTATAAGCAATTTCCTAAACAAACACGCTTTTGTTTCATAACTCGTATTTGTATTACGTTTGTGTAAGTAGTCATGTGTACGTATGTATATTGGACTTGTTTTTTTTTATATCTTGTTTTTTTATTCATTTTATCTTCCTGTGAGTGACCATAAATTTCATTAATGATTTCTTCGCTTCTGAACAGAGAATTTTGAATTTTAAATGAATCACCTGCGCGTTCGACACGACTATGTAACTGTTTCAACTCGAAAGACAACTTGGAAATTGATTATTGAGAAAACACTAAATTTTGGGTAATGAAATTTAGTCGTATGGGAAAATGGTCTAAGGTGAAATTTTATAATCTTTAATTTGTATGAAATCTAAATTGAGCTGATACAGCTAGTTTTTTAGTTATAAATCCAAATAGGATACAGTGTCCTGCACCACCTGCTGAATTTTGATAGAATATTCCTGTAATACACGATTCTTATGCATAAATTCTAACCATACAAAATTGTATGAAAAGACAAAATTATAGATAATTTTATAACCTTTCGATTATTTTAAGATTGTTTTAAGCTACTATAATTAGTTTTCAAGTTATGAACTAAAATAGGATAGTGTCTTGCAACACGTACCACAGACATTTTTTACTATTTGCACTATAACTCCAGAATTATTAATTGCAACCGAAAATAATTTTTTAGCAAGTTATTGCTAATACGATTTTGTCTACAATTTTGTCTAATATTGTGCTGTTGCAGAAATTTTATAAGTAATCTAAAAATGCCTTTGAAATTGATGAATCTGCAAAGTACACCTAAACGTGTTAGTTTGTGTGCGATTTTCAAGCAAAAATATAATGTTCACTAATTTCTCTAGTAATACAGATTATAGATAATTTCATAAGCTTTAATTTATCTGAAGATACTTTTTAGTTACAACAACTAGTTTTTTAGTTGACTTAAAATGTAACAAAGTGTCGTAGGTCAAATGTTACGTGAAGTTGCTTCTGAGCAGTTTTGTACGCACTGCCCAGCGTATCCAGGACATTTTTTTTATTGTTTTAAGGATAACTTAACTTTTTATTGTTTTAAGGGTAACTTAACTTTTTATTGTTTTAAGGGTAACTTAAAAACTGTTGATGGTAGCTTAATTATGTCTTAAGATAAATTGTAGATAATAAAATTATCTAAATTATCACAAATAAAAAATTATAAGGCTTTCAAATCTTTTTTTTTTTTTTTATTTATGGCATTTGACCGTGTGGTCATTTAGCCTCATATTACATAAATAATATTTTACAAATTTATAAATACCAGAGAAATATATATCTTTCAAATCTTAAAAATTACTTATTCATATTTATAAAAAGGACATTTTTCTTTTTTTTCAGGAACGAGTTATCTTAGCTTAGTTTGGTCTTCAGCTAACTTGAAGGTAAGAAAATTATCTAAAACACTTTCTCACAACATAATATAGTACAAAGATAAATATAAAAGATATAGGGCTTGAAAAACACATGATGCATAAATTGCCACTGTTGTGTATGTATATATGTATATGTATATATGTATATATGCATATATGTATGTATGTTTGTATGTATATATGTATACATGTATGTATATTTGTCTTTTACGGTTGTTTCTCTTTTACGGAAGTCGGCCTGTTTGACTTTCGGAATTTACAGATTAAAATGGATATTATTCAACAGAACGATCATAAATTATCCACGAAACGTTTGAAACGAACGAATAAAAAATAAAATTCTTAAAAAAAAAACAACGGACAAGTCCGAGACGACGATATTATACTCCAAACACACGACCGGCGATGTTTTATTTAAAAAATTCAATTAATAAGAGAAATATTTGAAATGCTACCGGGTGATGGACTGGATGCGACACCGAAACGTAAGGAAAGAATCTTTAGAGTTAGAAACGAATGAATAGAAATCAAATTCTAAAAAAACAGACGACGATCCAAAAAATTTTTATTTAAAAAATTCAATTAATTATTAGAAAACATTTAAAATGATACAATTACGCACATTTTACACACAATTTTGCACATTTATGCATATTTAAATACACTCATATTTTTATACACACTTACACACATTCATACACACTTTATACATAATTGAATTCACTTTTACACAATTTTCACACTTTTTTGCACATTTCTGCATATAAACACTCATACTTCTTCATACTCACTTACACACATTTATACACACATTTATATACACTTTATACACACATTTATACACACATTTATCACACTTTATACATACTTTATACACATTTATACACACTCAAACGATACTGTAATGCACATTTGCGCATACTGATACACATTTTAAATACATTTTTATACACTTAACATAGTAGATATATCATATTATAACATATTAAAATTACAACATTCTAGATCAATTACAAATATTTTAATAAATTTCCAAAACTTTACTCATTCATCGTATCAATTCAATTTACATACTTAGACTCTAACATGTACTTTTCTCATAAGTGTAAATATATTTAAAATTTCCGGAAAAACTTATCAATTTTAGTATTCATGTAGTAGACATATTGAAGTAAAAGATACTGAAATTTTAACATTGTAGGACAAACATATATTTTAATAAATTTCTAAATCTTTACTTCTAATGCCTATCTCTTCAAAGTTCACAGACTCTTAAGGGTACTATTCTTATAAAAACGTAAAAATCTTGAAAATTTCTAAGAAAACTTATCAATTTTAGTATTTGTAGTTATAGTAGACATATTAAAGTATAACATATTAAAATTTTCTAATTAAATTCTAGAATAAACAAATATTTTAATAAATTTCTGAATCTTTACTTCTATAGTATGTCACTTCAAAATTCACAGACTCTTGAAAGTACTTTTTTCGCAAAACTTGAAAATCTTGAAAACTTCTGAGAAAAGTCATCAATTTTAGTATTTGTAGGTATAGTAAGTATAACATACTAAAATTTTAATATTCTAGAACAAATATAAATATTTTAATAAATTTTTAAAACATTTTCACATCATGCAATTGTAAATATTTCAATTTTAGTAGAAAATTCATCTATTTTAGTATTTGTCGTTATGGTAGAAATATCAAAGAAATTTTCTGTATATATATATATATTATATATATATATATATATATATATATAATATTAATGCATATTTATATAACAGAGTATTTATATATCAAAACTATTTCAAGTCAAAAGAAAAAGATCTTAATCTTATAAACGTGAACTTCTTAATCGTTTCGCTTTGTTGACTTTTTAATTATCAACTTTAATTATTCAGAAAAAACAATATATATATATATATATATATATATATAATTTTATATTTATATGTCATAAGGGTACATATATAATCGAATTAAACCCGATTACAAGTCTTTTACTCAAAAAAGTTATAAATAAATTATTTTTTCAAAAATATAATCCTATAAATAAACCTAAAGATATCTATCGCATTTTATTTTTTCTTCGGGTAGTTTAATAGTTTTTACAAAATTGAGAGAAAAAATTAAGACCCTAAAACAGACCCTCAAAAAATCGTCGATAAGGGTCTTTCTTGTCTTGTCTTCAGTTTTAAATTAAGACATTTGACTTCTTTAATACCTTTTGACAAAAATTCACATTTGTTCGTTTTTTTTATTTCTGAAATGCCATCGAAAGACATCTGCTGAATTTGAAACATACCTGTGTTTATAAAATGTATTGTATTAATTTGTATGTTAGTGTGCATACATTTGTGTGTGTATAAATTCATAAAAATATGTATAAATGTAAGTGTATGTATGAATAAATGTGTGCAAAAATTTTAAAAAATTTCCAAGATATATGCACTTTTGTAAAAAAGATACCTTGGAGAGTCTAACTATCTAATAAATGTGATACTCTGAAAGAGTAAAGTTTTAGAAATATATTAAAATATATATAATTGATCCAGAATGTTATAATTTTAGTATGTTATACTTCAATATGTCTACTATAACGACAAATACTAAAATTGGTATGCATCTTAAGAAATTTTAAAGATACATCCACTTTTGTAAAAAAAACTACCCTTGGGATTCCAAGTATGTGTATTGCGGTACTGTGAAAAAGTAAAGTTTTGATATTTTTTTAAAATATTTGTATTAGCTCTAGAATGCTGTAATTCTAGTATGTTATACTTCAATATGTCTACTATGATAGTAAATACTAAAACTGATAAGTGTTCTCAGTAATTTTCAAGTAATATGGACTTTTGTGAGAAAAGTATCCTTGAGAGTCCAAGTACATATATTGAACTGATACGATGGAGTTTTAGTATTTTTTTATATTATTTATAATTGTTCTAAAATGTTGCAAAGTAGATATATCATACTTTAATATGTCTACTATATTAACAAATACTAAAATTGATAAGTCTTCTCAGAAATTATCAAGATATTTTTTTATGAAAAGTACCTAAAAATATCCTCCAATAGCTCGATTTCAGGATTTTGTTTCTGAGGAGCTCGTAAGGTCGTATTAGTGATACCAGGACGTTGTAATTTTAGTATATTATATTTTATTATATCTATTTTGACAACAAATACTAAAATCGATATGTCTTCTCACAAAATTTCTTAATATAAACAATTTACTGCAGCAAGTACCAAAAAACTTTTCTATATATCGATTGTAGTATAAATACAAATCTTTGTAAAACAAGTCGTACTAACCCTTTCTACTCGGGCATTTGAAAATTTGCATGTATTTGCATGGTGCGGTGGCATCCGAGTGGAAAGGGCTATACCTAAT